AGCACAAAGCAACGGTTGATTGATGGAATGCTCCGTAGCTGTCAGTAAGCACCACATGGCTTCGACATATTTTAACCATCGCATTGGGTGACACGATGACACAGAGATGGATCAATGGTTCTTCTATGGCACGAAGCTCTTGTGTCGCCCTGCGCAGATAGCCCACGAACCGTCCTGCTAGACTCATTCTCATTGTCCATGTTGCTGCAATGGATGTGACTTTGCCTTCTCACTGCACCTCGGCAAACGGTTGCGGCTGCATGCCAGAGTTTGCAGCACCTGTCAGCTGAGCAGGCTTCCTGTAGAAGTCTCAGACAGAGGGCTCAGAACTGACACATTTTCTCTAAGGCTACAATGCGCCTGGCGCCCCCAAACCGGTGCCGCGGCACGGTTGGTTGGGCCATGTGGAGATCTCGCGTATTCCCAATGCTGACCGGACAGGCTTTTGCGTTGAAGTCCTGCAAGTTTTGGTTTCTTTTTGTTTTCTATCGAAAGCTTTGCCAGAACAGCCGACAGGTTGCGCACTTCTTGTGGTGATGGTGTCGTTGTCGCAAAGACGTCGTGGTTGCCGCCACGCCCTGAGTCAATTGCGTGGCCTTGCTCGTGTGACGTTCTAGCGGAGCCGCATAGAACACCAAATGCCAATACCGTGTTGTGCCAGAGTTATGCAGCATCAGCATGAAGACGCACATTGTGGTGTGCAGCAGCACATTGTTTCCAGGCAGTGCTGCCAGAGCCAGAACTACAAAGATAATAGCTTATGCAGCTGCGACAGAGGAATGTGGCCCGCCTGAGCGTTGAGAGATGCGCGACTCCGTTCAGACAACTGCTTAGAAATCTGCGTCGGAAGCTTATTGGGGACAGGTGAAGTACTGGAGCTGGTGAATACGGACTTGTGCGATGGAAGCCCTCCTATAGACCCTCCAAGAGATGAGCTGCCTGGCATGCCCTGAAGCTTGTCGGGGATTGCTGGCAAGACCCTGAGCCCAAGGGGCCCAAGGTTGAGCACAGAGTTCATGCCTCCCTCGGATTTGGACCTGTTTCTCCGCGCTGCTCGCAGGGGCCATAGTATGCCATAGCCACATTTAGCCACCCATTCTACCAAGCAGAAGTCAAGCGAGACCATGTTGGCAACATCTCCAGGATATTATACCCAGTGCTCCTTGTTCCTTGGAATGCCGTAAATTCATTCCTTGCTTGTTCCGTACTCTGGGGCCATGCAATCCACCGTGAAGCCAAGGCTGCTGTTAAGCATCGTGTCTGAAATTTCAGAGTTGTCGAAGGGCTGGTTGCCCTTCCATTGGTCAACTACGGCCACGCTCGATTTCGTCCAGATCGGTTTGTCCACAGATTGCATGGCCAAGTGCCAAGGCTATGTCCCAGTTTATTTGAAGAGCTCCTGGAGTCAAAGCCACGATGCAGGCAGCGCGGTCCCAAGAGCGTCGGACAAGGCTTCAAGGGCAGGCTCCTAGGCCGTGCCCCCTGAGCTATCAAGGTGCTTTGGAGCTCGAATGGAGGCAGAAGCTGCCTAGTTGCAAACTACGCATGGCAGTTAGTTTCGAAGGAGGTGCTGCCCTACCCCAGCTGAGGCATGAAGCAGGTGCCAGGAAGATCGAGGGGCTCATAACGGAGCTCAAGGGCTTCTATGTGCGGCTTGGATTTACGTTGGCATGTGTTTACGAACTCTTGCATGCATACTCGCTGCGGTCATGGACAAGTTCTGCTGATGGAAACCACGGCTCTCTTTGTTTGCCCTACGAGGTCATGTTTCAAGCTCGTTCTGAGTCGGCATGCTTGCTGCGCTTTCCTAAGGAAGGTCGGGCAAATCATTGCCACACGGAGCGACTTGTTTCCTCAAGAGTACTCCCGGCAGTGTGCATCAATGATCGACTCTGCAGCTTGGAGAAGAAACTGCTCTTTTGCCTGTACCTTATTGTCTGGTTCCGTTTTGTTCCGTGTGTGGTTCGCCGCAAGTCACGCCTGGAAGAAAAGGTCAACCCTTTGCCCTTCACTGTCATCCGAAAAGTCGTCGAAGACGAGCTGCTTGGTGGCTTACCCCTGACGGAGGTCTTCGAGAGCTTCGACGAGCGCCCGCTCGGCAGCGCATCGATTGCCCAGGTACACCGGGCACGGCTCCGAGGCGGCCGTGAGGTTGCGGTCAAGGTACAGCGGCCAAATGTAGAGCGGCGGCTCATGAGCGACATTGGCGTCGTCAAGCAGTTCTCCCTGATCACGCGGGAGATTTTTCCAGTAGACTACTACCTTGTGTGTAGCGAGCTGGAGGAACAACTTCAAGATGAGTTCAATTTTATGGCAGAGGCAAGTGGCATGGATCGCATCGCGGATGCTTTGGACCGGAACGGGCGCCGCCCGCCGGTGCAAGTACCTAGAAGCATCCCCGGCCTCACATCGAAGCAGGTTCTTTGCATGGATTTTATCCCGGGAGCGCCACTGTCGCAGCTTCGAGAAGAGCTGAAGCGACGGGGCATTGAAATCGAGCCCGGATCCTTGGCGGAGCAGGCGGGAAGGGAGGTGAGGGCGGCAGTCCCCAGCATAAATTCCTACTGCATCAGCGGTCTATCGTCTTGAAGGGTGTGACTCTGCGATCCGCGATTCACAGATGTCCCTTGTGAGGTTTTCGGGCGAAAGCTACTCTCCGCCCTCACTGAAGCGTTCGGAGTCATGGTATTTGATGAGGGCTTCTTCCATGCAGACCCACACCCCGGCAATATCTTCATCAGGCGACCCCATTGGCTAAACAACAGACAGCACGAACACATGCTTTTTCTTTGTTCGGATGTACAACAGTAGCTTCCGCCCAAGCTTGATGCAACAAACTGTTTGCTGCATGCTGCTGCTCTGGATCGCAGAGCTACTTGCACGACAGCTGCAAGGCCTGATGGCTCGATAGCACTGATCGATTTCGGCCAGACAAAGCAGACACCTGGCAGCATGAGACTACGTTGGTGCTGACACACGTGCGCCGGGTGGTATCATCCGGCATCTCAGGATAAACTTCAAATTCCGCAAGCAAGTGACTTGGCCGTGGACACCATTGCCTCATGTGCTGTATGGGGTTCTGCTTCATTGAAGCTCGAGCAGCCTGAGCAGTCGGCAGGTTGCTGAATTGATGGTTAAAGTGGCGCATTACAACTCCTTGGACCCGGACACGAGACAGCACAGCAATCCACAGCCTGGAAAGTATGAAAAAGGGCCGTCAGTGGAGGGTTTGACCATGACCCAACGACCAGGACTCGGACGAGGCCAGGGAATGCCTCCAGTCCTTGGGTGATTTTGCCAAGAGCATGGGTGGCTTGGTGGAATTTTTGTGATGGCAAGTAACATGCTGCACGCACAACACATTTTTTTTGAGGAGTGGAGTTTTTGCCGTCGGCCGGGCCTTGCTGCGCAGGAACACCTGGCATGTTACGTGACAGCTTGTATTCTATTCTGTCATGATATGGTTTTCCGCAGGTGCACTGGCCCTCTGGCTGTTCGACAGCAGTAGGCGGCAACTGCCTGATGGCTACGAGGCGAATGTCGCAGTCTCGGACGACAGTACTGACAACCGTAGCCCCTTCATGGTTCGCCGGTTCGCCGGTTCGCCGTTGGCTTCCGAGGAATTGTCACCGAATTGTCCAGTCCGCGATGCCGCACACTTATCCTTGAACGTCTGACATGGTCTGCATTACCGCATGTAGATATGGGAAGTTCTCTAAATTAAGGTTCCTTTTGGGGGGTCCCCTGTATAGGTACGGCACCCTTAAAAACGGACCCCAGAGGGACCTTAGTTTAGAGAACCGCCCATGTGGGAGGATCGCATCCTCTAAGGTTGCTTCATTTCCGCGAGAGTGCTTTGGAGGCAATAGCCCAGGCGAAACGTATGCCCATCTCAACTCCAGAAGTGTTCGTGAGATTGAGCACTCGGCAGCACACGGAAGCACCTGCAAGTAAAGTCGATGCCGGCGAGACAGAGAGAGCAGAGCTCTTGGGGTCTGGAACTGGAGGGGAAGTCAGAACATGCCCCAGCTGAAATGAGTTTCATCACGTTTCATCCCATGTAGTTCCCAAGTGCTCAAGCTTTGTTCGTCCTCGTTTGCCACCCAGCCCCAGCCTGGAGTGCCCAACCTCAGATTGTCCCTGGAGTGCCAAACCCAGAGTGTCCCTGGAGTGCCCAACCCCACAAGATTCCAAATCTGTAGGGTGGGGATTTTCGAAGTAAAGGGGACGACATGATGCACGTGAAGATTCGGGAAACGTTCTGTACCCGGGAACCTCTGAACACACCACTGAAGCCCCGGTAGCCACGCGGCTACGTGATGCATCTTGAGAATGCGCCGAGGTTTGTTCTCCTCTGCCGCATGACGCTGCTAATTCGAGGTCTGGCCATGCGACTGAATGCAACTTGCCGGATATGGCTGGCCTGGAAGATTCTTTCCAAGACGATGTTTTTTTTGGGGTGTGTGTGTGTGTGTGTGTGTGCGCACATGCTGTTTTCACGAGGTCGGCTGGTCGCTTGCCGGAGCCTGAGGGCGGCAATCCCAATGCGAAACGTGTCTTCTGCACGACGCAGTGGTGTCAAGCAGAGAGGGTTCGGCACGGGCAAACGGCAGAGGCAGATGCCTGGCGAGAACAAGCGGAAAGCTTGTTGCAGGGCAACTTGCCTGGAGGCGTGGGCAAGGCAGAATCCAAGAAGTTCCTCGGCTTCAGGAGGCCGAAGCTCTTGAAGTCATTGGCAAAAAGTTTGTTCCCTTGCTCAGGACCTTGTGGAAACGATTGAAAGAGATGATTCCTTCAAAAGGGCATGGAGGGATGCGGTCATAGTTAAATGGTAGGATTTCGCTCGTCCTGTGAAACACACCGAGCTTCGTTTAAACAATTTTCCACCTTCGTGGGTCTGGCCGGTTGCGCTGGCTAGTAAAAAGAGGGCGGCTGCGTCTGCTTTGTCCCCACCCCTGCTATCATTGCATATCATTTCCTTGCTGCATGAACGACATCAGGAGCTATGTTGACGGAGGGTGCAAGCCTTCCCAGGCCTCGCGCCGATCTTGAAATCTACCGGTTCATGGTCGTGCGTTGTCTTCTTGTCAGGCTGATGCAGCACAGCTAGCCGCGAACTTGATGTTTAAGTCATCTACGGCAAATCGTCAGCTGCCTTGCTTACAGCTCCTCGCGCTGAGGCAGCGACTTCCGACACTGTCTCCTCCGACCAGTTTCCGCATGTAGCACGCTGGCACCGGTGGCCCGCTCGCTTTTTCAGTCTGAGGGGAAATTGCCGAAGCCATTCTGAGCCATGCACTCACCGAGGCACATCAGCTCTTTCACACCGACGCAGAGGGCAGCCTGGTAGAGAGCACTTGAAACTCCAAGCTGCCAAGCCATGCCAAGCCCCCAAACACATTGGAGAGAGCCCTCCTTTGGCCGGAATGATTTAAAATGCCAACCTTCAAGCACAGCTTTCATGGGAGAGGCTCTGCCAATGCTTCGGACAGAAGTAAACGTCCCCTGCGCAACTTTGCGCAGGCACCCAGTCAGCTAGCGTTTTTTCACGCCGCATCCAGGGTGACCTTAACCCTGTTGAGTAAGCCATCAGTCGCAAACATGCGCCAGCACAAAAAGAAGCCAATGAGAACGTGCTGATCAGATCCAGGCGTCAACCTCGGGATAATGTGCTCCGACACATCGCTTCATGTCGTGCCTTGAAAGACATGTCAGGTAGAACCGAAAGAGCATTGAGCCAGCAATGAATGAGATGTGTCCAAGCATGCAAAACAGAGCCGCTGCACACAACCATGAAACTCAACCCATGATATCAGCTTGAGAAGCGATGCTGGGCCGATGTGATGTCCCGCGGCTCGATGCCAGCGGTATGGCCTGGAAGACTTTTGCGAAATGGAGGGGTTCGCAGGGTGTCTGGGCTTGACAGGCAGCTACAGCAGATCTCGGAAAGTTGTCCCTCTAGATTAGCCTGGCCCATTCCAGACCAGATGCCCGGAAACTGAGTTGTAAACATCGTCATGGGGCAGCGCAAGAAAGTTCGGGTTCGGGGGTGAGCGCCTGCCTGAACAACAGGCCGTGCAAAGTCTCTGCACGATTTTTTGTGCTGGAGCTACGGGATGAGGTGTCGAAAGTTTGCACGCGGTTTTTTTTTGCCGAAGGCCGCTTCTGCCTCAGGGAGATTTCTTGACTACACCTGAGGTGTTCTCTTGACAGGCCTCTTCTTGAACAAGGAGCTCCTGCCTTGGCGCCGCCGGGCAGAATATGTTTGTGGGCATTGTTTAAAAGGGTGTGATATGGTTCTTGACCGGGTGGTAAAGCGGTTTATCCTGAGATGAGGTTTAGGACTCCATTGGTGGCACATGAAGATGTCTCAAGCGCGGTGCAGTTGCGTGTGGCTTTCAGAAGTGAATCCTCGCCACTCAGTCTGCTACCGCTGGCCAGCCTACCTCACTGCCTTCTTCGTTCTTCGTTTGTTTTTTGCATCTTCCCTGATGGTAGTTACAGTATGCCTGCGCGTGTACCATTCTTCGCAAGTGCATGGAATCGCTTCTTGGCACTTGGGGCTACTTGGGGCTGTGACATCAATCGACGATGCGTGCGTGCCAAATCGTAGGCATCCTGTCGGTCGCCCATATAATTTTTTTCTATCCACGTACATATATATATATATATATATTTATATTTATTTATTTATATGTTCTTTTACGCGCCATTGAAAAACATTCAGCATATTATGGTCGCACGCTAAACTATGGAAAATGCGTAAACCTTCAAAAACAATCTTCAATCAGATTCTCCCCCGCAGTACCCAGGATTACCTTGGAACCTTGCTGTCAGACACCTTTGACAATAGCCGAAGTCTCCAACAGAATCGGCGACTGCGTCGCTACATGCAACCGTTTGAAATTGTTTTGGAATAAAGCCAAGGCCAGCGTCAAGTGGAAAATTCAAATATTCAATGCTATTATCCGCTCGAAGCTGCTCTACGGGTTAGAATGTTTACAGCTTTCTGATGCTGAACTATCAGAACTCAATGCCTTCCAAAAAAATCGTTGTGAGAACAAACGAATGCCAGCATGTCTGACAGAATCAAGAAAGAGCACGGTGGCTCTTTTGAGCATTCGCAGATACTTGGCGTAAGACAACGTGCAGACTCTTGGCTCATATATTGCGAGCAAACCCCGGCAGATCCCCTTGTCCAAGTTACTCTCAAAAGTGACGGAATAACATCTAGAAAACCTACGAAAAGAAGACTCGGAAAACCCAAAGCAGATTGAGTGGTTGTGGTCAAGTCGCATCTTCGAGGTACGAAAGCAGCAACATGCGAACAACGAACCCTGACTTTGGCATTTGCAAGCAGAGAGTTGAAACAGGAAGAGGCCCCCTCCCGAGCAAGCTGCTGAACTAGTCTATTCAAGTGTGTCAAACAAAAAGTGAGGCGAGGCAACAGTTCTGAGACGGCATGGCAATGAAAGCTTCTATGCAGACAACACCAGGGGCAGCTACGGCTTCCCCAAGCTGGCAGATTACGTGACCGCCCGCCGCCCCGAGCGAATGATCTTCGTGTCGGACACGCTCCGGGGGGCCTTTGGAAGAGCCTGGCGCACGGCAACCCGGGGATCACGACGCAAGAAGCTCCTTGAGGATTTTGCAGAGCGGCCTATCTTTTCTGTGGGGGTGGCCGGTGGTGCGGTACCGACTCACGACAGCCACCCTGAGACATGGCATGCCTTGCTGAGTGGCACAAAGGTGCACTGGTTCGAGATTAAGGGTTTAGTGGATCTTAATGGGTTTTGAAGGCTCTCTCAAGATCTGAATCCACATGATTTGCGTGGGGGGCTTTGTTCTCAACCAACCAGTTATTGAAGGGGTGAGGAGCATCCAGGCGTGGTGGCTTGGCAATAAGTCAGCGGCGCCGTCGTTCCTTGGCTGGGAGGATCCATGCGGAATGATAGAGAAGAGCCGGCTAGGCGAACGCGCACCATCCGATGTGTTCCTGTGTGTGCAGAACGCTGGCGATGTTATGTACTTTGGCACTGGGATGGATCATTCGACGTGCACCCTGAGCAACTTCAGTCTGGCTGTTGGTGCTCAGGGCCATACCGAGACGTGGCCAGAGCTTACCAGGGCTGCAAATCGGGGAGACCTTTCCAGAGTGAAGCGGGTGCTGCAGATGAGCTCAAAGGGTGAACTGCCAGCATTGCTGTCCACCACGGCCGGCAGCTATGGACATGCTGCATTGCACCGGGCCGCCCTCCACGGCTTCGAGGACGTCGTGGCCACTCTTTTAGAAAAGGGCGCGGACAACAATCTGCGAGACTTTGAGGGTTTGACTCCATCGTTTCTGGCAGCATTTAGCGGACATGGTGAGGTTCTCCAAACCCTCGCGATGCATGGAGTGCAACTGTCGCAAGAACGAGATAACAAGGGCGCAACTCCATTGCAATGGGCCGCAACTCAAGGGCACTACGCTGTCGTAGACCTGCTTCTCAAGAAACACGAGATGCTGCATATCAAGGATTTTCATGGTGGCGGGCCCGTCTCTGCCGCGGCAACAATGGGACATGTGGAAGTGCTTGAAAGGCTGGTGAAGGAAAGAGCGGACTTGGAAGAGTCTGACGAGCGGGGCATGCAGCCTTTGCACTGGGCGGCGCTGCATGGTCACGGCCTGGTTGCCAAGCGCTTGTTGCACCTGCGTGCCCGAAGTGACGCCTTGAACTCTGAAGGCCAGAGCCCTACTAGTCTTGCTCTGTCACATTCCCGGCAAGAAGTCGCAGAAGTGATCCGGACTGCGCACAAACGCAAGCGGTCCAAGACCATGAAAGGTCAGGAGCTTTGACGGGACCTTGCCGACATCGCCAAGTTCCGCGACCTGTTTGTTCTCCCTTAAAATGTGGGGTTCGACTGCGGTTCCACCATGGCATCGCGGCATCACTCGGTCCGGCCACAGTTAACTTATTCCTCTCCTACCCACACCTGCCCCTAGGAATTGCGATGCGCAAATCACAAAGCTAGTCCTGCTCATTGTGTTGTGCCCATTCTATGCACATGGTGTGGGAGGTGTTCCTCGCGATCGATACATCTAGGATGGACATCTCTTGCGCCGGCTCGAGTCTGAGAGCACAAAATGCACAAAACCGATGAACACCGATGGGGTTTTTGTACTCAGCATGTTAGCTCTTTGAAAGCATGTGACATGGCATTAGGTTTACAGGGTTCAGAGTTTGGAGCTGACCAAAAAGCCCTCAAAGGGCCCCTACCAGCCATGCCCTTTGTTCAGATATCCTCAAGCGGATCCGCATACGAGATCTACTACCGCACTTTCCCTGAGAAAAGTGCTGCAGATCTCAGCACGCGTCCGCGCGTGATTCTTTTGATGGGCCTAGGTGGGACCCACTCACTGTGGAAGCCTCAGATAAGCCATCTCCAAGACTTCTGCCACGTTTGCGCCATGGATAATCGAGGCGCAGGCTACTCAGGCAAGCCCAAGGGAGAACGGTGGACCACGAAACGAATGGCGCAAGACGCGATAGCCGTACTTGACGAGCTTAGATGGCAGGATCGCATCCACGTCATTGGCATTAGCATGGGCGGAATGATAGCACAGGAGCTTGCAATTGCTGTGCCAGAGCGTGTTGCCTCTGTCTCCTTGATTGCTACCTACGCCTCGGTGTTGTGGGCGATGCCTACGGTTAGTGCCCTCATCGACTTTTGGCGATCGACTGGGTGGCTCACGAGGGACATCAAGGAGATGGGCAAAGCTTCCATGCGATTGAACTTTCCGGATGCATGGTTGAGTCAGACAAGGGTTTCGGAACTTCACGAAGGCAAAACCGTCGAGAACCAAAGGTGGATGAACAAGGCCTTCATTTTGATGAGCCTGGATGTTCCCCCAGAGCTGAAAGAAAAAGGCATGGGCCCACCAGGACGCGTCCATCCCAACTCGATGTTCAAACAAGCTCTCGCAGTTCTGACACACCATGTAAGTAAAGCCCGCTGCCAACAGTTGCGACAGCTTGGCGTCCCGGTGCTCGTCCTCACGGGCACAGAAGATTGCTTGGTGCGCCCGGTGAACTCCGAGATCATAGCTGATCACTTTGAGACCAAAGTACATGCCATGAAGCATGCGGGACATGGTCTCATTTTCCAAGAAGCTGACAGCGTCAATCATATGCTTGAAAGCCATATTCGGTCAGGAGAGGCATATGTGAATACGTGCGGGGGGGGGCCGAGATCAAGGCTTTGAGATCTTGCTCTTGCCTGTTTTTGTTGTTCACCAAAGTGTGCTGAACGCCGAAGACGAAAACGGGATGATGACCGAGGTTCTACAATCTAGAATGTTTGATTGGCAAGGTTCAAAAGCGCGATGTCGCCAGGTCCATGTGACGTGCAGCAAGATCTCAGGCGGCATGACAGTGTGCCATGTTGACTTGGTTCTGTTTCGGCTCAAAGATCAGCAAAACCTGGGACACTTCTACGCCACGTTTAAGCCCCATTAAGCCCTAGGCAACCCAATGACGGGCTCAGACAGCGCACCTCCTGGGCTATCTCTGCCTCGTGTCGAGAAGGCGGTCAAAAGCGCCTCCAAAAGCGTCGGCCGTTATGGAGGTGTGGTGCTTCAAGCTGCAGCCGCCTGGAACCAATCGCTGCTTTTTGCAGCTGCGGCTGGTGCCCTTGATGCTGGCGTCGAGACAATCTCAATGACAGACTCTTTCGAGGTGGCTTCGGTCACAAAGATGGTAACCGCCACTGCTGTCCTGCAGCTGGCAGATGAAGGTTTGCTGCAGCTGGATCAAACCATGGATGAGGTAGCTCACGGCCGCGTGGCCAAGCTTGTTCAGGAGCGGGTGCCAAAGTGGTCACTGGACAGATTTGGTGGTGTTACCATGACCCAGCTGCTTCAACACACCAGCCGGTCGCTTAGCAATGCGTACGATCGGGTCGCATGTGCTTGCCCATGATAGCCCGATGCAGTGGCACAGCACAACAGCAAAGCACGCGGCATGCAAGACTGTGCTAGGATCAGTTTCCTGACTGCGCTGACTGCCGACATCAACCAAGGCGGTCTGCCAAACTACTGGGAGGGTCCCTTTGTCAATACTTTTGAAGCCGAGCCCGACAAAGAGTGGTCTACCTGGGAGCTACTCAGCTATGCCGCAGACATGAAGGATTCATGTCCTGTGGCTGACAGGGGTTTACCTCGTTCGTTTGCATATGCTGACACAAACTATTTGCTGTTGGGCCTCGTGCTTGAGACGCTTACAGAAAGCTCTCTGCCAGCTTTGTTTCGAACCAGAGTGTTCGATCCTGCAGGCATGTCCAGGGAGGGTACTTATTGCAGCTTTTTGGAGCACAGGCCTTCTGGCGCACCTCCCCTCGCAAAGCGCTATGTGGGCCCCACTCAGATCACTGGAAAAGTGCAGCATTCTGCGGATTCCTTTGCTGCTGGAGGCGTCGTCTCTACAACAGCCGACCTCCAGAAATTCATGTCAGCCCTGGCCAACGGTGATCTCTTCCCCATAGGGGGGAAGGCTACACTCAAACGAATGATGTCATGGATTCCCGCAAAGCGTGGACCTGGTTTCTGGTACGGTCTTGGCCTGATGCGCATTGACCTCGACGATCAAGTTGGTCTTTTCAGGCGCTGGTTTTCGAAGAGAAAGCCGCGTGGCTTCCTCTGGGGGCACGAAGGCTTCGGCGGGGCCTTTGCTTGGTGCTGGGTCCCGGGGGATAACCACCCAGAGGTCATCATCACGGGTTCCACAAACAATGAGGCCAGGAGCTACGGCACACTCATTGAGCAACTTGTAGATGATTTGGAGCCACACCTTGCACCCTGAAGGACTGCTCCCACCTAGCACTTTATGCAAGGGAGCTGTAAAGTTGCATGATGTACAATTGCGTGCTAGTTTCAGATGGCATTTCAGACGGCATCGGATAGACGGCAAGAGGCCGGAATGCACAAGCCCAAAAACGATCGTTTCACATGTTCTTACTTTATTGTGAATTCTTCTGTGGCTTGTGCAACCAGCACGCCGAACACCCCGTCCAGCCAGAAAAAATCAAGGCTCAACCAACGCAATTCATATTGGATTTTCTTATGTGCAATCATCTATCTATTTGGTAGATATATGGAGCGCATGAATAGAAGAGATACTTGTCCTTTTTCGCAAAGATTTAGCTGCAAAGGTGTATATACATATACATATATATTTATGATTAATTCATGTCATGTTAGACCATATTATATTGTACTATATTATATTAAATTTGATTAAAATAGATTAGATTCTATTATACTAGATTATATGATTATACTATATTATATGTTTCATATTCTATTATATTATACTATATTCTGTAATATAAAATTATCTTAGATTTTATGAGATTATTACATTCTAATACATTATATTCTATTCTATTATTTTATTTTATTTTATATTATATATTCTATATATTTCTATAAATTTCTTTTTATTCTATACATTTCTACATATACATTTGTATTTCTATATATGTATATGTTTCTATATGTGATTCTGAAGAGAGGAAAAAGTATTTCTCATTATCTAAAGGGGTTGTCGCCCACAACCGGGCACGCCCCGCGCCGACCAGGGGAGCAACAGCAAGAGCAACACCAACCAAGAACAACAAGAATTAAAGGACCGGATAACCCCGCAAAGAGTATGAGTGAGGGAGTAAGCGAGTGAGCGAGTTAGTGCGTAAGTGTGAGCGAGTGAGTGAGTGTGAGCTGTGTCCTACGCCGCAGTTTTGCTAGCGTCCAGGCGTGGGATTCAGGGCGACAGCTTCGGGCTTGAGGGCATTCAAGAGTTTCGGAATCTGTTGTCATCCGGTAAGCGGGTTTTCAGCGACATCTTTTTGGCTTCCAGTGACAGGCAGGGTGCGATCAGCGCTAGTTGGCTGCAAGAGAATCCTAAGCTCGGCAACAGCTGCCAGAAGCTTCAATGCTTCAGGCATTCTTCCTCTTGAACCAATAGAAGCAATGGGTGCTGATTATGGGTCACAATTGGACCTGTGATGGCGTCCGGGCAGAAATCCAGCATGTCGTCAACGAGTTGGGGAAACTTGTCACGGCAGAGTTATCGCAGCAAAAAGTGGAAGTTTGAAGGGCTAAGCAGAGCTGCGGCAATGACATTTGTTTTGCTGGAGGAGTTTGCTTCCACCTCCGCGGCACATCGACAGAGAGAATCGCATCTTGAATGTTTGCGATATGCATTCAAAGTCAACGCAGCAGCTCACGGCGGATAGCTTCACCGCGCTTCCCAATCCGAGTTGCGCAATTCTATCACGCTTCTCAATCCGAATTATGCGCACTATCCTGCGTGTCTCAGAAGCGCGTTAGTGAGAAAAGTTGGGCCAGAGCGAAGCCTCATCTTCAATGCGATATTCATTCAGAGTCAAGGCATCGGCTCTTGGCGCATAGTTCTACCACGCTTCTCAATCCGAGTTGCGCGCGCTACTTGACACGTCTCGTCGCAATCGCGTTTACGAGACGCGCTTGCAAAAGTTCGACCAGGAATCCTGCCAGGCGCCGTCTCGGCGGTGTCTTAGAGATAGATATGGAAAAGGATTACGTACGCGCGTAGAGCCAGGCGGATTTCCTCGGCAATATCTGGATGTGTCTAACTTGGTTTTTCAATCCCTAGATCACGTGACTCATCAAATTTTGGTAGGAACAGCAATAAACGAAACGGTTCTCTAGATGCCTAATAAGGATAAGCTCGACCGGTCCGGGGCCCCCAGGCGTTGCACTTACACTCGTATTACGCTTGGCAACACGAAATAACCTATGAATGAATATCCCCATATAAGACTACGGGGTTTTACGGTTTAGGGTTTTGGGGGTTAATA